ACATTCCTCTATAATATGCCTGCAGGTACAGGTACAAATAGACTAATTATCTGAATCAATCATACCTCACACAACACTGGATAAGCAATATCAGGATATGAATTAATGTGAATAATTCTGAATCTCTGGGTCTCACTCTAAAAAGTTAAATGAGTGATAATAATAACTACAAAATGACATTATTAACTCTGTCAAAGAAAGGAAGAGGATTATGTCCTGATGGGACATCATATCTGTCCAATATCCACCCTTCATCCTTAAAAATAATACTGGCTAGCTCATCAGTCACCTGTAAACCACAAAATACTTAATCTTTTGTATTATTAACCTTACTCTACTGAACAAGGGCTCATCTTGTGTAATGACTGACATTTGCCTCCATCCAAACTCTCTCATTAGTTGTCCCAATGATTGACTAACATAACGAAATGAGACAAGAGTGCGAAAGAAGTACTTAAATCTGGTTTTATCATTTAAAACATTAGCACCTGCTGCATAAGCTAACTGAAAATAAAAATCACTATAAATACAATGCTAACATAATTATTATATGTTAATGCTACATGCAAGAAGTAAAAATATTAGCTACATGCATGTTCATCCATATAATCGACAATTATGCAAGCTATTTACAAAGTGATTATATGGGCATTGCAATTTAGTAAGTTTTGCATTATGATTAGTAAATCATTGTAAGCAATTACAATTTGTACATAGATCTATGACATAACTATTATGTGTATTTATAGACCGTATAGGATGCTGACTTCCAGACAAGTGATTATAGATACCATATATGAGACACTATTTGTAATCTTTGTATCCTATATGCTTTATTCAATGAAAAATTTCAAAATTCTTCTTCTGGACAGCAAAGCCAGGCAAAATCAATGGATAGGAAGCCAAAAGCAGCCTTTGTGAACAATTCGCTTCAAGTGCAATGAGCCAATGAAGCCTTTTCTCACAAGACATTCTGAACTTTATTCTTCACCAACTGGCATTTATTGCCACTCAGGCAAACTCTGGAAGCCACAAAGGCCTCTTGTTCTATGTTTCCCCATGTATCTTTCCATCCAAATTATGAGTGTGGGTAGATACATGTACCATAAATAATGCAATAAATACTTGCAGAAGTTAGCACCCTATAGGGTCTACTGATATCATTTTGCCAACAGCAAAATTAGCGCCCATAATTCTAAGGTACATAAACCTGTGGTATGTTCCAGTAGTGACTGATTTCGGCTACTGATATTGTAGATGTAGAACAGCCACAACCCAGGAGTGAGATGTATGTGATATCACGATTCATTAACTCAATGAGCACGTCAAGACCTTTCGTATGGTTGCACTAAAATAATTAGAAAAATAAAAATTATACTATTTGAGATTACCCCTGAGTCTAACACATCTGTATATGTTAATGTATAGTTCTGTAGAATATCATCTCTCTCATTTATGAGTTCTAATGCCATATCAACAGCCGGTCTACCTCCACTAGCCTGAAATGAGCCAGTGATTGTAGTTATGTATCCCATGTAGAGTGTTGTCCTTTGAGCATCAGCAGTATTAAAAAACAGCCAAAAGATGCTCCACAAAAGAAAACACTTCATCTTTGTATTGGAAACAGAGAGAGAACTATAGAAACCTACATGTAGATACGTAGATACGCGACATTTGAAATTAAATTTAATTAATTATTCATGACCCCTATAGTCTAGTAATTATTAATAATTAACGTTATAAAGTAACACGTGGTGCTCGATGTCATCTGCCCTGACGTTTTCTCTGTGTCTTCTGCTATTTCCATACCTTTCCTTTAGTCAGGATGTTATTACTTGCAATGGAGTCGTGAAAAGTCAATACTCGGCTAATTATCCACTCGATTATTCAAGAATTAATGTCAGTTATGCTAGTGGCCCTGTCACATGTAGTCACGTGATATCTTGTAACTCCTCCCCTTTAGATTCAGCTACTAACCAGTTCAGGTGCTATCAAAGAAACAAGCGATTGTTCACCTACAAACGGTTACTTTCTAATACCCGTCTATGACAAAGTAATGAATCCATTTTATTTTTTAAACGTGGTTATTTTATGTACATGTAATTAGGGAGAGTATGTGATAAGGATTGTCCCTCCCACTGGGTGGATATTTAGTGAGTTATGTCAATTTATTTGTTTTATGTATTTTTGGGTATTTTAGATCCAAGTGAAGTTAAGTTAAACGTAGATGGATCTACTGATGAGTGTAGCAGAGGGGAAGACATTGTGTTTAGTTTTACTGGTTTCTCTGTCACTGGCCAGGTAAGAGAGAGAGAAATTTAAGCTTTTTCAAAGTCTAATTGATAATGAGCCACTTGTTTGAGAAATGGATGATGTGTCACATTTACTACATGCGCTATACAAAAATGTGACTATGAAGACTAAAAGTACCTTTTTGCCAATGGATTACACTTTTTTATTAGGTAATTATAATTGGAAAGGAGAAGGAAGGTCCTTCAGGTGTGACTGTCTCTCTCTTGTCTAAGCCGGATACTCCTATAGCTACAAACTTGTCCATAGATGGAGGAAAGTAATTATTGACTAGTTAGGCGTGTTATATACATGTAGCTATTTGTTCTTGTTTCTTTGTGTGTGTGTGTGTGTGTGTGTGTGTGTGTGTGTGTGTGTGTGTGTGTGTGTGTGTGTGTGTGTGTGTGTGTGTGACTCTCTGCATGTTTGTGCTTATACTACTGCTTAGTTGTGTTTCGTACCTAGGTTTTTATTAGAGGGTGTTCCTCCTGGTCATTATGTACTTAAAGGTAGTCATCCTTTCTGGAATATCAACAAAGTATGTGTCATTTTCATTTTAAAGTATTGGTAGTACTGTACCTCTGTTCTTTCTCTTTCTCTCTCATTTTTTCTCATTGTTATTAGAATGAAGTTCGTTTAGAAATATCTTCTGATTCTGTAGTTGTTCCAGTTGGCTCTATTATAGTGGAAGGATTTGATGTCAAGGTACATAATAATATTACTAATAGTACTCTTACAGTGTGGTTGTTATTTATTAGCATTATCTACATACATATAGCAAACATGGGGTAATATGTAATAGTAATAGTAATAGTAATGATTACAAATATTGGTGTAATAGTAATATAATAGTAATTGAAAAAAACAAAATCCATTGTAATAGTAATAGTAATATGAAATAGACTCTCAGTAATAGTAATTGTAATAGAAATTACAATATAATATGTGTTGATTACATGCATGCTGCACTTGACAGTTAAGCATCAATTTGTCAGTGCCACTGTCAGGAGGAATTTTGTGACACACCCGATTCTATTCAAGTTGTTTAGTCATGTGTAGAGAGCACGATTTTATATCAAAGCTTGTATTTATGTACATGTACCTTCACGTAAAAGTAATAGTAATATAACCAAAATACAACAATAAAGTAATAGGAATTAAATGTTAAGTAATAGTAATACTAATTACTTTAGTTTAGTCAAGTAATGTAATAGCAATAGTAATATTCTGGTAATAGTAATTGTAATAGATTTCATTTTAATGTAATTGACCCCATGTCTGACATATAGTAGCATCACTGACCATAAAAATCATTTGTAATGTAATGTGAGTGTTTAAAAAGCATGTAGGAGCGTTTTATGTTACTGAGGATCTTCAAATTATTGTGGTGTGGAGTGTGGATGGTAGAACTATGTTGTGCATCTCCAGTCTAAGGATTGCCTGGAGTAGTAGCAAGCTTTCTGATGTTTGGCTGTTTAATATACGTGCATGTGCATTTACCTTTGTGTGTGTGAATTTTGTAACTGAGACGAATTAATCTAAGAACAAACTTTCAGCGATATACTTGTGTGTACATGTACAATGTACATGTATATCAGATTTTCCACAGGATGTTGGCAACTTGGCATAGTACTCATGTAGCTTCTTGTTGGTGGATTACAAATTAAGTTGCACAAAAATTAGGCCAAAGACCCGGTACTATAGTACTGGGAATTTTGACAGTCACAAGGAGAGAATTCTCCATTTTATAATTTTTCCTGATGCATATATGCATGTCTTTATGTGTTCATTGTGTTATATGTATCAACTTTGAACATGTCCCGGTCAAATTTGGTTCTTTATGAACTTTTAAAGTTGCCAAAAATTAGGCTGAAAAATTCCCTGCAGACCTCAATCAAATATCATCAAAAATGGCTATGAGAGAATTCTCCATTTTTTCTGTTACATGTACATACGTGTTTGCATAGTGTGTGAGAAATTTGAACTGATTTCGAGCAAAATTCGATTTTTAATGAATTTTAAAATTTACTCCCAATGCCATATGCTCTCTATTGCAGTGCTGTCAGCTGCTGTTTAGCTCACTTAATTAGCATGCTTTATGGGAAACCCTGATGTGTAGTATAAAGCCATGCCTTGTACTCACACATAGTGTGAGGTTTGGTACATTTAACACTATCTCTCTTCCTTGTTAGTCAATCAGCATATGTTACATTGTAATTGGTTTGTATTCCCTTTTGGTCTCAATACCATAACTTAAAAGCTTTTCAACTAGGGGTGGGCGATATATCGAAGTGATCGATATTTTATCGATATATCCGGATATCAATGCATATCGATAGTAAACTTTTGAAAATTATGTGTTCGATATGATAACCACACCCACTTATTACAGTTAATAAACCATTTATATTAAAGTTAACAAACTATTTTATCATAACCACACCCACTAACAATTATTATTATTCAAGTTAACAAACTGTTTTTATTAAAATGAATTATTCATTACTACAATACTACTAGCTAGACAATCATTGTGGTCTATACTACAGCTGCAGTCAATTGTGAAGTCTTAGTCTTATACTAACAGTTAGATAAGATTAAAATTAATTTAGCTACTCTTGCTACTCATAAACAAGCTATGGATTTATCATTTTCCAGTCAAGAACTCAGTTCAGAGCCTAGCAATTCATCTGATGAGACACTAGAGCTAGCAGCTGGTGCATCAAGTACCCCTCGAAGTACCCTGTCATTGAACTTGACATCAAATTCGAGTTCGAGGTCAGGTAAAAAGAGAAGTTTAGCATGGGTACACTACACAACAACAACATCAGACGATAAGACTGCCCAGTGTAACTTGTGTGGAGAGAAAGTAAAAACATCTGGAAATACTACAAATTTAATGATAGTAAGTATATACTACAAAAAATAAACATGTAATCATTATGTCTGTAGCATTTGAAAAAATACCACGAATCTGAACATGCAGCCATCATGCAGCAGCAGGAAAAAGTGACACAAAATCCGTCAAAAAAGCGCTGCACTGAATTAGCAAAGGGTCAGCTAACACTATCTGGATCAATAGAAAGGACAGCAGGATATCCTAGTATGGAATTAAATACATCTATAATTATATTGACTGTTATTTACCTAGAGAATTCATTTAAACGAGCTTTAATTGACAAGGCCCTTGTTAAAATGATCACCACTGATCTACAACCTGCAAGTTTTGTGGAAGACACTGGATTTAATGAGTTCCTCCGTGTCATTGATCCGAAGTACACTCCTCCAAGCCGGCGTACCATCATGCGAGATCATCTCTCACAGTTGTATAGCTCAAAGTGTGATGAGCTGAGGAAGGAGCTGGAAGGAGTACAACACTGCTCGATAACAACAGACTGCTGGACATCACGAGCAACAGAAGGGTATATTATTGTGACATGCCATTACATCAGGAATAATTGGGAGCTTCGATCAATGGTACTCAACACTACTCGTCTGACAACAAGTCATACCTCTGAAAACCTCGCCTTAGCACTGAAAGAGATTACTGATCGTTGGGGGATCACAGAGAAGGTACACTGTTGCATATCAGACAGTGCTAATAATATCAAGCGAGCTATACGACTGAACCAATGGAGCCATCTTTCCTGTCTGGCACACACGATAAACCTCATTGTTGCCACTTCCATCAGTCATGACCAGGAGCTTGTCACTCTAGTTGGAAGTGTGAAGAAGATTGTCAGTTTTTTTCACCACAGTTCAAAGGCAATGGATAGCCTTCATTTAAATCAGAAGCGTCTCAACCTACCCGAACACAAGTTGATCCAGCAGGTAGACACAAGGTGGAATTCCACCTATTATATGCTAGAACGATATCTTGAGCAATATGAAGCTATCAAGACCACCTTGTGTTTGCTAGACCGCAATGATCTAATGATTCCTAGAGAAAGGAATACTGCACTCCAGGAGGTAGTAAAAATTCTCACCCCATTTGAATCCGTGACGAGAGAAATATCAAGTGAGAACTACACATCTGGGTCAAAGATTATACCGATCTCAAGGTGTCTTCAACGTTTAGTATCCACTTCAGTGACATCACATTCTCTAGCAGAGAGCCTAGTTACAGAAATGAGGGCACGGTTTTTAGGGATGGAAGAAAATAACCTCCTTACTGTGTCGACTCTGCTGGACCCTAGATTTAAGAAGCTCGCTTTTTCTGATAAAGATGCAGCAGAGAGAGGTGTCAGGATTCTTCTATCTGAGGCTTCTATTGATGTTCCGGCAGGTAACAGTAGGGTCAATGAGCCATCAGTCTCAATCCAGTCTGCAGAGCCACAACCTAATGACCTCTGGAAGGTATTTGATGAAGAGGTTGCTCAGGTAGCTACTCAGAGAACGGCAGTACATCAGCATACACTGAAGTTCAACAGTTCATGAGATCCCCTGTCATTTCTAGATCCGAGTGTCC